TCCCTTTTAAAAAAATTTGCAAGTTTTACCGATTAAACGATAACTGAAAAGTAAAGAGATAAGGGAAAGAAGATTAAACAGTTGATTTATACTGGTTCGGATCAAAAGACCGTACGTCCAGTTGTTAATCACTCTAAAAGAGGATTAACGCAGTCACTATAATCACAGTTTTAAACATATTACAAATTACAAAAGATAAGGATAAGAAAACACCTCTCTTGAGTCACACAAGAGATGAACACCTCCTTTGAATCCATAAAGTATGACGACAGTTTTTCCTAGAGACGGCACAACACACAATCTACCAAGAAACCCACTCAATGATTCTTATCGCTTCCAACCCACATTAGGTTACAAAAGCCCCTTTTTCTTCCCTACTCAAAGTGCTCTAGCAATCACAACTCTTAACTTTAGTATGAAAAATGTTATTTTGTTCAGAGAGCCATAAGGAACTTTAAATAGAGATATTTAGGGTATTGGGAATAGGATTTTCAAAATAGGGAATAGATGCATCGAAAATAGGTCCAAAATTCGAATTTCAAAATCATAATAGATGCAGATAATCGATTATCCTAAGTGATAATCGATTATCACAGAACCATTTTTGCAGAGGAGTATTTTTGGACCAGGATAATCAATTATCCACTGAGATAATAAATTATTTCAGTGTTTTTCAAAAACCCAGAAAGGCCAGGATAATCGATTATCCACTGAGATAATCGATTATTCCAGCAAGTTTTCCAAAACAATTTTCAAGTGGGATAATCGATTATCCTGGGTGATAATCGATTATCACAGAGTGGTTTTGCTAAAAAAATGAACCTTCAGTGGACAGACTATGTGTTGGCTATCTTGGACTTTATTTTTACATACTCAAAAAGACAAAACAGAGTTATTACAAGTAAATACAAATGATTAAAAGTCTTCAAGTACTTTGTTCTTGAATCATCATCAAAATCTTCAGACATCATACTCTTGTATATTCAACATGTAATATGGTTTAACATAAGTTATGCATGCATATTTTGCTTAGGCAGTAATTGTTCATTCAAGTGAAATGTGCAAAAGAGGAAATGACTCCTCTTAGGTGTATTTTTGCTCAAGCAAAAAAAAAAACTCTCAGTGGATTAGGCTTGTCTCATGTGTATTTTCACTCAAGCGAAAGTGAGTATTACTTAAGCTAGAAATTTTTCGCTCAAGAGAAAATTTTCCTTAAAAGAAGGTGCATATTCGGGTTCATTTTCGCTCAAGCGAATTTTCTTAGAATATTTTTGTTCAAACTTCTAAAAATCATAAGAAATAGCTCAACTCTTCAAATTTAACGTTCCATATATGAAAATCTAAGAAGACTTGGAAATAAGGAATCCAATGAAACAAAAATTAACCAAAAATAATATTTTTAGGAAAATCTATGACCAAAATAATAGACATTGATCAAATCCCATAAATTTATTTTTTCCTAAAATGTGAGAAATGGTATATACATGACTTAAAATAATAGAATACATGTATTGAATATGAAATAATATGTATTGGGTGCTAATATATGTATAGGAAAATATATTGTTTTAATATAAGAAATAACATATGAATACCCTTATATGTATGTTATATCCGTGATGAATTGATGAAAGCTAACATAGTAGTTTTTAAGGGGGAAAGATGTAGATAATGTATTGAATTTGATATTCTAAAGAATATATCGTAACTCTATTGATGTTGGACTTACGTAGAGATAAGTATCAGGTGGTGAGAGTTGAAGGAGATCTCTATAACTTAACTTGTGGTGTAAAAAAAATTTTTCAAGTCATAGGGATTTACCTTGTCACATGAGGGAACATATTTCAATTATGTACCTATGTTGAAAATAGTGTACTTAGGAAAGCTAGTTTGATAGGTGCAAATCTCTGAGTTTAAATTAAACATATGGGAGTCTTTCGAAAGTATACTAAGTGTCTATGATTGTAAATGTCATTATGACATGAGATGTAGCTTACATGTTAAGAAATTAGACACTTGAATTATTGTATAGTTGTGATGCTTGATTTATTTATTCAGATATGAATATTTCGTGATAATCATATGAATAAAGAATTTTATCGTTATCTTACCCTAATTTGTGTGGTACATTAATTTGAACTGTGATGAATATATTGTTACTTGTAAGCAGACGATATTTTAAGTAGTCAATCTAAATATTGAGCTAATGAGAAAGTGAGGAGGAAGTTTTACATTTTAGATATTCGATTTTAAAATATATATATATATATATATATATATATATATATATATATATAATGAATTTATGTAATATAATCATGCTTTTTTTTAATACTTAGGCATATAATGTAAATAACTAAATATATTTATATCTTTAAATATTTTTAATCTTATGTTCATGGGAATAGTGGCGGAACTAAGAGGTCGACAAGACCACGACAAACCAATTTTTTTGTTTATATATATATATATATATATATATATATATATATATATATATATATATATATATATATATAATAATAATTTATTTAAAATATAAATAATAATTATTTTATAAATATAAATAAAATTTAAATATGTTATTTTTCTCTCTTAATTTTTTATTTATAATAAATATCATATTTATTATTTTATACAATTTTCACTTATTTTTTTATTCTTTTTTCCTTCTATTTTCATATTTTTATCTTTCTTCTCTCACCTTTTCATTTTCACATACTTGTTCTATTTGACACTCATGTTGTCTTTTAACATTTTTATATCTTTTATATTACTTATTCACTTTCATATTTTTCCCTTTTACTATTTCACACAACATAAAAATTGTAATTTTTTTCTTTATTTTTTCAAAAAAATAATAATTTTATCTCTATAACATAAAGATTGTATTTTTTTTGTCTTTTATTCAATAAGACATAAGATAAAAAATTAAAAAATAAGGAAGATATCTCATATTTTTTTAAAGTAAAAAATAATAAATAAATTATTTTTCCTTATATTTTTAGTTATTATTGTAACAGTAACCTATGTCATATAATATAAAATATGAAATATTGATATAAATATTTTTATTTGTTATAAATTAGTTAGTTATTTAAATATTTTATATTTTGATGTTAAAATGGATAAAAGAAAAATTAGTTTAAATTTAAAGATATTAAAAATAAAATTATAAATTATATTTTTTTTAAATAGATAAAATAAATTTTATTTTCTAAAATTTAAATTTATTAATAATATTAATTATATAATATATTGTTTTATACTACCTTGCCTAAAACTCTTGGTTTCGTTGGGAGGTTACAAAATGCAGAGATGAAATGTAAAATAAATTTTATGAAACTTTATAATAAGATTATAAAAAATGTTGTGATGATAATACAATTTTTTTTTTTTACATAAACATATCTAATAAATGTTAAGCTTTATTTTTACAGTAAAAGTTGGAATATTTAATGTATATCGTTATTATTTATAAATTGTAAATATTCAAACCGTACGTGTACATCCACATCCGCACATACTTTTTTTTTAATATTAACCATTCAATGGATAATGATTACATTACTAAAGTAATCATGGTGTCTATAATAACAAATGTACATAAAATTTTACTTTAGTTTTTTCAAATATACAAATTGATAGACAGAGGACCCAGAAAATAAATTAAGTAGGGTTCATAATTTCTTACATATTATGAATGTTAGCATTACTGATTCAAAGCATCAATCTCAATGTAACAAAAAAAACATAAACATCTACAAACATATAACCAAATCTCATAAATAAATAATGATGGTTAAGGACCTTCTTTAACTCAATAGATCATTTTCATGGGTAAAATTGTACATAATGATGCTTGTTATAATTTGTGTCCTGAATTTTTAAAGCATAAATTCAATAAATTATAGTTTATTTCTTTAATAAATATTTAAATCACATTTCCATTTATTCTTATTTTTAAATATTTTATTTTCCATTCATCATAAAATAAATCTTAACAATGATGAACAATTATGTATATGCATTTTGATAATATTCTGATTTTTATTTTACAACATTTATAAACAACGGTTTCTCAAAGCTTTAGTGTCAATTTTAATATTTTAGAAGCTAACATTATTTTTTAAATTCCTTTATTACCATCTTTAAAATTTTCTCTAAAATCTTTATTTTATTTTCTGAGGTTATTGAATTGATAATAAAGTGCTAAGAATCACAAAATAAAATAAAAAATAAATCTAAACGTACTTATTTATATTGAAATACAGTCAAATACACACATATTTTTAAGAGAGAATATGTATATATTGCTATTAAATAAATAATAAACTTTACAGCTTTTTTTTGTATTTTTCGTAAAAATATATTTTAGTCCTTATATTTTAAAATTAATAAATTATTCATAATTTTAAAAATTATATGAATTTAGTCATTTAAGCTTTTTATTAGTAAAACAATATTTTACTAAATATGAAATTTGGGTACAAAAAAATTATAATATTAAGTGTTGAATTGAATAATTAAAAAAATTAAAACTATATATTTTTATAAAAAATTTAAAGGACAGAATCGATTAATTTGAAAAATATAAGAATTAAAGAAAATTAAAAAAAAAATACAAAGACTAAAAACAAATTTCAAATGTTTTTATTCTCCAACTCTAAATTCACTAATTTAATTTTTTTTTAAGAACAACCATATTAATATTTCTATATGTGTTTGTATTTTATTTGATACTTTGATTGATATTAGTACGCAATCAATAATCTTAAAATATTCATTTAGTACTTGTTTCTGACCATCATTTAAAAAAGTGAAACTAGGAATTGATTGGGCTTTAGTATGCAAAAAAGTAGCAGGGTGGTGGAAATTCCAGGACTAGGTTTCCTTTTCAAGATTTGGTTGTTTCTTTTGTGCTAAGTGGTAATTAAGAAATAAGTAAGTAATTAATTAAGTGGAAAAATGTTGAGTCACAGTCTCACTAGAAATAGAAAATGGAGCTAAAAGAAGTGTTTCCACTCCCAAAGTTAGCAGCACAAAAGTGTGGGTTGGTTCCTGAGACCATGCTTCTCACTTTAACAGACATGTTGCCCCCCTCAAATGCGACCACAATCATTCTAAAATTCAAACAAAAGAACTACATTGATTGATATATCAGGCCTTTTCATCTTTTCAATTTTGTTTTACATAAAAATCTTTTTTTTTTCTTTCTAAACAAATGTCCTGTTATCTGACAACTATCCATGCTTTACTCATTTTATCAGAGTTAGAAAAAATCTACTCTAAGGTATAGAATGAGACAAAAATGAAAGAGATTATAGTTTCTAAAGATATAAAATTAATTTTTCCAAAACTTTCAAAAAAAAAAAAAAAATATATATATATATATATATATATATATGGTAGATACGGTAATTTATTTTCACCTAAGTTTATCAAAGAAACAAATGGTAGATTTTTTTCTTTTTTTTAATTATATTATTATTGGGTTAATGAAAATAATACATATTAAAAAAATCTCATATCACATTTGGATAGTGGGTGATAATAATTATATAACAAACTTAAAATTTATGATGTTTCTCACTTGTTAAAAACACTTTAAATATGTATTTGATTTTTTTTTTATATTATTGTAATAGAGTGTTAAGAGATTTAATTTAAATTTTTACTTTGGAATTGTAGTGGAGTATTGAGATATTTCTTTTAAACTCTTGTTTTGGAGAGTGTGAATGTATTTAGAATAAAAGGATACGAGAGAGTTGTTTATGTTAAATTTTTTTTTACAATTCTCTTATTTTTCTATTAACAAAATAATTTTTGAGATAAAAACAATGATGTTTTTTATAGAGTTTTTTCTCATTAATTATTTATTAATTATTTATAAGAATATGAGATTAAAAATAATTTATATATATATATTTTAATTTATTAAAACATCTTTTAAAAAATAGAAGTATATAAATTAAAATTTTAAAATAAATAATAATTCAAATTAAATAATTTATTTTAATAATCTTATGATAAAAGAAGAAAAAAAAAAGAGATTGTGACAATTGTTGATGTTAGATGAAACACGAGATTTTATTTATACTTATTCTACATCGATTGGTATGTATGATTGTAAAGTTATTTATAATTGTTTTTCAACTTTTTATATTATATTCTTTTGTCTAACTAATTTTTGAACTAAAATTATTAAATAACTTTTTTAATTTATTTAAAAAAAATCTTTATTTTAAAAAAAATCAAAATTGAATAAAAAACTTAATATTTTTTTATGTGTATTGATTCATATAACAACTTTTGCTGTAGAACGTATGTCACTAGTACGTTCTCAATTAGAAATAATATTCAGTGGATGGGTAATAATATAATGAGAATTTTATTCAAGAGAGTTTATAATATTCATTCTTATGTTTTTATCATGTTTCACTTAGTATTTTTTGTTTTTTTTTTTAAACCTAATATGTCACATGTTTCTTAAAAAAAAATGGTGCATTATTTCATCGTCACAGTACGTATTTACAAAATAATAATAATAATAATAATAATAATAATAATAATAATAATAATAATAATAATAATAATAATAATAATAATAATAATAATAATAATAATAGAAATAACTATTAACGTAGCACTGATTTTCGCTATGCATAACAACTAAAATAATATAATTATGATACTTCAAACCTTTGTTTGTTAAAATAAATTTAAAAATCAAAATTCACCATTAAAATCTAAATCATTCTAATTAATTAAACGAATTAATATTTTATTTTAATTTAAAATTCTTTAAAATAATATTACTAAAACTAATCATTGTTTAAGTCAATGTTTAAAAGTGAATTTAATTATAATTCAATTAAATTTAATAATATAATAAGTTTAATAATAATAATAATAATTTATTTTTAAAAAATAATAAAAATTATATTCGATAATAAAAGAATAATAATTAATATAAAAAAATAATAAAATAATTAATATTTAAAACTATATTTTATAAAATTTGTATTTACAAAAAATAAAAAATTAATTTTTAATTTTTTATAAAAATTTAGTTGAATAAAAGGTTTTATTATTTATATATATATTTTTTAATTTTATCTTGATTTAATTAAAATTTAATTATTTAAAAATAAAAATCAATTTTTATACCATTTTCTGATTTGAATGAACTCATCTACCCTGTCTAACTTTCAAAATAATTATTTTAGGTTAAAAATAATAAAACATATTTTTAAAAATTGTAGAAAAAACAATATTTGTTATTTTAGGTTATATTAATGAAAAGGCTGAAATAAACAGTGAACCTGACCGGGCTGCATGAACCGGTCGGGTAGTACCTTAAACAGTTGCGGTGGTAACTGTGTTTGCACGAGCTTTCACCCTTTTGGGTCGCATAAAGTACATCGCTCACAACCTATTCTATCCATTCTGACAGACAAGAGAAGAGATTCCTCAAAATTCGATCCCCCCACGCCACCAGAGCATCTTCTCTGTGTTCTGTTCTCTCAATCAATCACCCTCTGCTTCAGTAGGAGCATACTTATGCTTTGTTTGAATGGAGTGAGTTGAGAGAGTGGAAATGAGAGAGTGGAAAAGGAGGGATTTGAAGAGAAATGGAGATCAAATTAAAGTTGTTTGGATGAATGGAAAGTGAAAGAAAAATTTATGGGAAATTGTGAATGATTTGATTGATATGAGATATAAAAATTATAATTTTAATTGATTATTTAAGAAAATTATCATTTTATCCTTTGTATAAAATAAGGTTCAAATGATTATAAATATAATTTTTTAATTAATTATCCATATTTTAACATTGATTATATATTTAAAAGAAAAAACAAATTTAAAAGTGTTTGTAATTGGAAATAAATTTAAAAAATTAACTTTTTTTAAATAGTAATTAAAAATTATATAAATAAACAATTACAAAATTATGTACATTGCATATCCATAAAAAAATAATTTTGACATATTAAAAAAATTATTTGATTAATAATTAAATAATTATAAAATATAAAATAATAATTAATATTGATCTGATAATAACAAATAATTATGAAATGAAAGTAAATTATATTTTAGAAGATATAAATTTTCAAATGATCGATTTTAGATAGCGGTTAACCTGGAACCGCTATCATATGTTCACCTCGATAGCGGTTCCAGGTTAACCGCTATCTAAAGTCTCGAGTATTTGAAAATCTGATCGATTACTTTGCCAAAATGATCGATTAGAATGTTAAATACTCGAGACTTTAGATAGCGGTTAACCTGGAACCGCTATCATAGGTGAACATATGATAGCGGTGTCAGGTTAACCGCTATCTAAAGTCGATGGGTATTTGAAAATCTGATCGATTACTTTGCCAAAATGATCGATCAGATTTTTAAATACTCGAGACTTTAGATAGCGGTTAACCTGGAACCCCTATCATATGTTCACCTATGATAGCGGTTCCAGGTTAACCGTTATCATATGTTCACATTTAAGAGCGGTTTAGATGTTAACCGCTCTTAAAAGTGAACATCTGATAGCGGTTAACGTGAAACCGCTATCTAAAGTCTACATTTTACTGATTCTGTCTGCATAAATTATATTCCAGTTCTTCCAGTGAATCTCTCTGCATAAATTATATTTCAGTAATATCTCTGCATGCTTGCACCAGTGAATCTTCCAGAGTGAGGGTAAGTTGGACATTTCAATTTGTCCAGGAGGCTTTCGTCGCTTTTCTTCGTGGATCAGCGAAGATCCTCTTTCTCCCCTCTCCCGCTTTTCCTCGCTCTCATTTCATCGTGTTTCTGTTCAACCAAACGTGTGTCATCCTCGTCTTTCTATCTTCGTGAACAGTCTATAAGTGGAAACAAACATACTGTTAGCCTCAATTTTTTAATTTCAGATCCTATTCTCTCAATTACATTTTCGATCCCTATTCACTCTTTGAAACATCGTATGAAGTAAAAACAGAATATTTAATTAAAAAATGTAATTGTCATATTTAATCTAATTAACTTTTTTCCAATTCAACGTTGAGAGAAATGTGGTTCGCAGTGAATTAGTGGAGATTATTATTAGCAAGTAATAATAATGTTGTAAGAAAGTGGCAATAATATCCAGTGACCGGAAAATCGCAGGCATATGTTGGTTGTTAAAGATGTTTGCAAGGCACAATACCAAACAATGATCATTAAAGCGTCGAAAGAAGAAGGAATCTGAATGAAATCAAATCAATTACCAATTGGATTCCTCATAAGGATGCTGTTCCTCCTCATGCCTAACATCATGTTCAAACATTTCCCAATTTTCACAACACAAAAAGCCAACCTTGTACTACTGTGCTTTAACCATCATTAAATATCATTTCTCATTTTTATCGTATGAGATATATGGATATTGATAGATACCCTAAAATTCAATATTCTGTTTAGAAATAAAATTTTCTTAATTTTATTTTTATTAAGATAATATTATTAGATATCACCATTTTATTTTTTAAATTATGTGGATGGATTAAGAAAGAAAAATATATATAAATTATCTTTTATTTTGCAAAACTCGTGAAAGTTGCATAAACACTTCGTTGAATACGTTTGTATGTAATTGCATTGTGTTTCCTCAAACATTGGCCTTATAAATTTCAGACACATGCTTGTTCAAATAAAGGTTTAGCTTTTGGAGCTGCTGCGTGCCAAGTTGAACATGTTGGACTTGGATGGCATACCCAATTACCACCCAACTCACAAGTCAATCACGAAATCATCATATGCTCTCAATTAGGCATGAGTGGTGAAAGTCAGTCAACGCTTCAATCAAACTAACGTTATATATATATATATATATATATATATATATATATATATATGTTATAAAAATGGATTCATTTATATGTTAGTATAGAAAAAGTTACGACTTGTTTTTTTTAAATAATTTTAATTTTTAAAATCTAAAAAAATTGTTCAATAACCGTTTTTATTTTTTAAAATTAAAAAAATTAAAATTGATACAACTTGTAAAATTTTTTAAATTAATAATCACTCACTTTTACTATTATAAAATTTTCTTTATTTTTTAAAATGGTTTTTAAAAATAGAATTATCAAACAAATATTTTTCTCAATTTATCTAATTCTAAAAGACTTATATTTATAAGACTGAAATTCATTAAAAAGATCTTTTATGATGTTATCTCTTACTAAAGTTAATAATATTATATATGAGAAGGTGTACTAAACAAATACTCAAAATGCATCTTAGAGTGTGCAGAAGAAAATATACAAGTGATGGAGTATTCTGTATGATTTGGCAAAGCTTCGCATGGAAAGCTGAAAGCTTTTCTTGTAGTTTCTTCTGTTTAGTAGTGTTATAATTGGTAGCTAGGAAGTTCAATCTGTTTTTCCCGTGCATGTAAAGATCAATATGATATTATTCTGAAATATTTATATGCGATCTTAACCATTCATTTTGGGACTAAATAATATATTATTAATAAATAGTAAATAAATATAAAAAGAAAAAAGAAGATGAAAAGATAAAATTTACTAAAAAAATTGTATATTACCGATCGAATATTTATTGACGGATATATATCTGTCGAGAAAATAAGTGATTACCAACGGATTTAGAATAATATGGAATTTGGTCTTATCGACGAATATATCCGTCGGTAAATGAACAATTAATTACCGATGGATATATTCGTTGATAAATCTGTTGATAAATGAATAATTAATTTACCAACAGATATATCCGTCAGTAAATTCGTTGGTAAATAAACAAATAATTACCGACAAATATATTCGTCGGTAAATCCGTCGATGAACAAGTAATTACTGACGGATATATCTGTCAAGAAATTAATAATTTTAGTAAATGAACAAGTTATCGATGAATATATCAGTCGGTAATTATTTGCTCATTTACCGACGGATTTAAAATATATTTTTAAAAATCAATATTAAATTAAAAAAATTAAATATTTAAAATTATATAATAATTACTTAATTTTAAATATATTCTAATAAACACGACACATATTTTCACCGTCAAACACATCCTCACATCCAACATATAAATATATAAATATATAACTATATAAATATATATAAATATATCAAAAAATATAAATATAAATATATTTATATTTATATATTTTATATTTATATATTTATACGGATACACATCTATTTGTATATAAATATAATTTATTTGTAAATTATTATTAAAAAAACTTAGTAGTCTAATGATTGGAATATGTTCATTAAGTTTAGCGAGACCAAATTCATAAATTACATGACAATTACACTATATTATATACCAAATAACCCGGGTAAATTTTTGTGTTTGACGTATTGTCTATTTTGAAGCTCTAATTCATATATTTTAGTTTGAATCTGAATTATTATTTGTTTTGAAATTTTAATCTATTAAGATTTTGTCCTTAGAAGACATCTTAATGAAATTTCAAACCATATGAGATTTATAAATATAATAAAATATAACTTTCAATATAAATGACGAATAGATATATATGAGTGAAAAAATATTCTACTCTAACTTTATAATCATCTAAGAATAAAAGTATTTTAGTCAAATATGAACTATTAAAACTCTATCTTAAAGACACATCAAAATGTAAGCAATGTATTATTTTCTTTTTAAATTTTCTATTCTCATTCACCACTTACTCTATTATTTTCCGAACGTAAAAAGAGAGAAATTATAAACGAAACCAACAAACTCTACTACCCCATCCCTCGCTGCACACTATTTGCCACCGGTTTTTATATTTTGTTTGCCACCGTTGACATCGCATCTTGCTGCGCCACCACTTCGTTGTGGGTTTGTTATCTGCTGCGCATGGACACCACTATTTCATTTCCGTTACTTTGAGATATTCTTAACATAAAGAGAGGCAATTTCTAAAAAACATTGTTTTTGTTCCTTTGGAGAGATTCTCTTTCTATGTGTGCTTTTGTCTCATTGAACTTTTTTAGGATCTTTCTCAAAAAAAGTAAAAAAACTAGTGTTTTTTTTTGTTGCTTTTATGTTCCTATAGTTCGAAGCTTTTGGCACAAAGGTTATCCACCCACACTCAACGAAGACACTAGGTTAGCTCTAGAAGGAATGTGATTTGTTTTTTTTTTCAAAAAATTGTAATGAAAAAGTTATTACTATAAAGTTATTAGTCTTATTTTAAAAATTATAAAAACCAAATAACTTTGATACAGTTGTGAAAATCCCATCATGAAATATACCAAACTTCGTTTACCATAATCTAAAAGCGACATAAAAAGCATTAATCTTTGTCTTCTAATGCTATGTTTCATGCATGCCATTTTGACCCTACAATATTTCGTTATAATTAAGCTTTGTGTGGGAATTAATTTAACTAAAGTCATCACCTTGGATATCAATCTTATTGTTCCAACTAAAATAAAATAAAAAAATAACTAAATATTTTACTTGAACGGATTTTAATAAATAAAAATTTAAGATGAACATGACAGTAATTTTTATTTATTTTTATTGAAAA